TTTCATCTAATTTTCACCTATTCTATTTTTTCTCGTTATTTATGCATCTAAGAGCAAAAGTGTAAAAGAGCAATATTGTTAAGAATAAAATTTGCTACAACTTTTATACCAAAACTTTTTTTCTAAAACGTTTCTAATCCCGTGCGCTACCAACAACAAAATGTAAAACCACGATTTCATCTAATTTTCACTATTTCGTATTTTTCTCGATATTTATGCATCTGAGAGCAAAAGTGTAAAAGAGCAATATTGTTAAGAATAAAATTTGCTACAACTTTTATACCAAAAATTTTTTTCTAAAACGTTTCTAATCCCGTGCGCTACCAACAACAAGATGTAAAAGCACGATTTCATCTAATTTTCACCATTTCGTATTTTTCTCGATATTTATGCATCTGAGAGCAAAAGTGTAAAGGAGCAATATTGTTAAGAATGAAATTTGCTACAACTTTTATACTTAAACATTTTTTTGTAACCGTTTCGAATCCCGTGCGCTACCAACAACAAAATGTAAAACTACGATTTCATCTAATTTTCACTATTTCGTATTTTTCTCGATATTTATACATCTGAGAGCAAGAGTGTAAAGGAGCAATATTGTTAAGAGTAAAATTTGCGACAACTTTTATACCAAAAATTTTTTTCTAAAACGTTTCTAATCCTGTGCGCTACCAACAACAAGATGTAAAAGCACGATTTCATCTAATTTTGACCATTTCGTATTTTTCTCGATATTTTGCATCTGAGAGCAAAAGTGTAAAGGAGCAATATTGTTAACAATGAAATTTGCTACAACTTTTATACTTAAACTTTTTTTCGTAACCCTTTCGAATCCCGTGTGTAGATCAACTAAATTAATTAATACGTATATAAACAACGATCCGAACACGATGTCATTGTGAGTTCTGTAAAAGATTAACTTGAAAGAATTGAGATGGGGCAGTCTGTGATTTCGATAGAAGAATCTATGGCGAAGCGAATAACGTATGGATCTTGATAATCGAGTACACCGTTTACGAGTTATGACCACCTAAAAAGATCATTTTTGTGTTATTTTCGTGTAGTATCGCAATATTTTGACGTTTTATCGGAATTCAAAAGAGATTTTGAAACGGACATCTACTTTTTCGTCAAAATTGGTTGAGTGGTTCTCTTGTTATAACCAACATTCCATACATGTAAAATCCTATATAATGGGGGGCTACGAAAAATTGGGGGTAACTTCGTATTATATTTACATTCCGCATTCCAGAAGCATCTTGCATAGTCCATAGAGTTTTTCCGGGGAATTTGTTCATCATTCCGAGGCGATCGTTTGAGTTTTGTAACTAATATTATATTTACGGTAGCAACTAGTTGACCTACTGCCCAACCCCCTTTTCGAAGGGCCATTTCTCTAGCTCTCGTTAGCCCTGATCCTGTTTACAACTGGGGTTGGTTAATTTACTGCTGTTTTGTGTGCGTATTTTAAATAATCTAACATGATACTTCCATTCAATGCCAAAATTGTTGTGTATAACATGGCAAAACTAAAATCGATCACATTTGTAAATAAGGCCATTTGGTGTTAAATTTGCAGTAGTGTTTAAAAAATAACAAAAAAGATGCTATTGCTGTTGGATCATTTCTGCATAATAGGCACTCAACATTAATTGTTAAAATTGGCTTTCTTACTCCAGTAGCAGTAGCATCTGGGTACTAAGTAATATTATTAGAGCCTATTACAGTATTAACCTGTTCATTACTAACAACATAGATAGTTAAAAATCTGTAAACTAAATCTTGGAATTAAAGTGGAACCTCGGTCGTAAGGGACCTCGGCTTGATTCTATCAAGAAGTGAAAATTAAACATAAACACTTTGTAACACAAATAATTATTGATTGTCAAGGCAGCGAAAATGTATTTCTGCTGATTATGACACACTCAAATCGATGGGCCATACAATCGAGAAACTTAAAGATGTGTCGCAATCGAGCTACTGCCTAGGTCGCAAGCAACATCGGCTTCATTTTCTTAATCGGTAAAGACAATGTGTCGAGCTAGCGAAGATGATGTATTTGTTGTAAAAAATTAAAGCCTTTTAATCTTGTATTAATAACGTGTATTCGTGATGTTTTTTCAAACGACTTAATTGTTGCTAAAGCAGTCCATAATTTTTTGTAGTTCCATTCAATATACTTAAGTTCTTCCTGATCAAAAGGGTCATCAAAAATCATTTTATTAGCGTAACGATTTGACGTTTGATTGGGTTTTCAGCTGACCCTGAATGACCCTAAATCCTGAAATGAAGAAAAAAAATAGGAAGACTTAGCTATTCAACATAGAGTAGTTGAGACATACCATATTAATACTTGCAAAACTAAATGTATTAACAAAATCAATATGGAAATCAAAAAGTGTTATTAAATTAAGCTGACTGTCTCCATTTTAGCGATAGATTTTGGAAGCAAATATAGTATATAGTGGCCCACGTCCAAGAAATTGTTCCAAATACCCCAGGAATCCTACGAAGATAATTCTCGCTTCACACGGTTTCTCTCCAACAGAGTTGTGCAAGCGTGTTTGGTTATGTTTAGTAGAAGAATTTTGGCACAAGTCATTTCATAATTCGGGAATGTGTGGAAGTTTTCCAAAAAAAATTAAAAATAAGCTCAACCAGAAGAGAGCTGTAGATTTTGAGATTTCCAAATTTATTTAAGATTCATCATTTTTTGCTGCTTTCAAGTAAACAGTTTTTTTACGTGTATACAGGTGTCTCACGTAACTGGTTCGTTAGAACTTTTTAAGGTTCCACTATTCGTAGTGGTTTGAAATTTTGGTAGCATGGGTTGTTCATTCTAAATTTTCGATCTAAAATATTTTCAAGATGGCCACCCCTTCCGGTCTACCGGAAGTAGACCACAACTTCGTTATTTTAAATGGAATGCTATAGTTTTTATTACACCTTTCAATTATACATAAAAAAATATGTTGACTTTGATAAAAGTTGTTGGTACCTACCATTTTTTGTTTTCGAGTTATTTTGATTTTAAGCTTTTTTTGGCAAATTTCACCATGCTCTTTAAAAGCCTATATCTCAGTTAACGTTCATTAAAAAAAACCTCTAAATTGGCACGATTACTCTTCAGATGTTGCCAAATAGATTGTCATTTCTTGTATCAGAGTATCTTATACAGGGTGGTCAAAAATTGAATTACCGTTTCTCCATATTCAATGGCTAGAAAGTCGAAAATTTTAAATGGAATACCCCGTATTTTTTTACCCTATCAGAAAGGGAATTTAATTCTCTACAAATTATCTATAAACATTCCTATACCTATTTATTGTAGTTTCCCTGATATTGGAAAATTAATCAAAATCAGACATAGAATCCCAAAGCCCGTTTGTGTTTTTGTTAGCAGGCCAAGACATTTTGACAGTTCATCGTTTAATTTATTTAAATTATTATTGGTATTATTTCTACAATTAACTATGGTTGAATAACCTTTAGCTTGCTCGCTTTTATTTACCAAAAATAACCAACAGAAAAACGAATAAATGAAACAATGAAAAACAACAATTTAATAACAGAAATTAGAATGAATAACATATAAAAAAACAAAAACTTAAAATTATAAAAAAATTAAAACTGTTCGATATGCTGACCATTCACCATTAAACATTTTTCAACTCTTCTTTCGACTTCTACGGTTGTGGCCCGTAGAAGTTGGTCGCCATCAATAGTACGTAGTGCACGCATCACTCTATCACGCAACTCTTGTCGTGTGTTGATCGGTGAATTGTACACTTGATTTTTTAAGTGACCCCACAAATAAAAATCCAATGGTGTTAAATCTGGAGATCGTGGAGGCCATTGCCATGAATATAAAACAAATTTAAAATATCGGCGTTGGAATAATTTGCCATGATATACAATGACTTTCACTCGTGATCAAAAGTAAGTAACAACAACAATAACACAAATATGGACCAAAAACTGTCAAAATTCCATTGCCTTCTAATAAAAAAATCAAACGTTTTCCCGCATTCCGTGCATGCTTTGATTAATGTCCCAATATCAGGGAAACTACAATAAATAGGTATAGGAATGTTTATAGATAATTTGTAGAGAATTAAATTCCCTTTCTGATAGGGTAAAAAAATACGGGGTATTCCATTTAAAATTTTCGACTTTCTAGCCATTGAATATGGAGAAACGGTAATTCAATTTTTGACCACCCTGTATAAGATACTCTGATACAAGAAATGACAATCTATTTAGCAACATCTGAAGAGTAATCGTGCCAATTTAGAGGTTTTTTTTAATGAACGTTAACTGAGATATAGGCTTTTAAAGAGCATGGTGAAATTTGCCAAAAAAAGCTTAAAATCAAAATAACTCGAAAACAAAAAATTGTAGGTACCAACAACTTTTATCAAAGTCAACATATTTTTTTATGTATAATTGAAAGGTGTAATAAAAACTATAGCATTCAATTTAAAATAACGAAGTTGTGGTCTACTTCCGGTAGACCGGAAGTGGTGGCCATCTTGAAAATATTTTAGATTGAAAGTTTAGAATGAACAACCCATGCTACCAAAATTTCATACCTCTACGAATAGTGGAACCTAAAAAAGTTCTAACGAACCAGTTACGTGAGACACCCTGTATATATATAGAGAAAACTTATTAAAATTTTGAATTTTACTCGTCAAGACGTTGTTTTAAAGAATGAGATGTTCAAAAACAGTTTATCATGATTGATTTGCTTTCTATTAGACTAATAATTAGAGCAACACGAAGCAGCCACGTTTACATTACATATACCAAAGTTTACATTTGTGTTAATTACTTATTTCCCTTAAGACATTTTGACACGTCAAAGAATATTTTTACAAATAAATTTTACTACTTTTTATACAGCTTTTATGACGTTATTTGTATTAACATAGTTTGCTTTGTCTTACACATTTTTTAGTCAATTTTTTTAAACGTTTGTTTATTGTTTGTTTGTTTAGCATGGAACTGTTGCGACATCTAGTGAGACAAGTGTTGGAACACAACCCGGTGGAAGCGTTACATCACGAACAGCATCGGAAACGCCTCAGGTGCCGACCTCAGGTGGTCATCATCATACCGGTGCAAAATTCAGACACGGACTTCTTCAGCTGATGATTCACACCATCGATCCGCTTCACGATGGTCAGTATGAAGGTATCTCGAAGCGAACACTTTTTATTTATATATTTTTCAAGAAAAAATAAATAATATATCGGTGTGTAGTGTGTAGAATTGGGAATGTAGATGTTTTTGTGTTTAATATTTAAAATGACAAGGTCTATATTTTTTAGAAATTTGATTACCAAACATGAAAATAAGAACAATAAATTTTAGGGATAAAATTAATTTTGAGTTCTCTGATGCTTGGTATGTAGTATGTACATGAATAATCTTCCCATAAACGGATTCCTTTAGAGTCTATTGTTCTTGGGAATAGATTATGTTTGGTAAACGTGTACAAATGAGTAATAACCGTTCCATAACGAATTTAGTTACGGACATTGTAATTCCAAGATATAATCTGAGTTTAATTCTAATTTGTGTTTAAATTATGCATGCAAACACTAACATTTAGACTTTTAAAAAAAGGTCAAGAACAAAATCGATATGTTACCTCAATGTGTCCTTCTGATATCAGCAAATTGAAGTCTTTTTATTTTTTAGCTTGCTCGGGTTCCGACTTGAAATTAGTCCTCAATATATTCTTGTATGTAACATTATACAATATTCTAAACAGCTGCTAGGAAGCAGCGAAAGCATTTTCTGAAACTCCTCTTATCTCTGATAGTTTGTAATTAAATATGGCTTTCCTATAATCCAAACGAGCAACATTTTCGACGTAACTACATAAGACGCATTGCTAAACGAAAGGCTTCATCTCCCACATTTACGAATGTTAGTCTGAGTAGTAATTACTACTCATAAAGTCGCATAAACCTCATTGGAGGTTTTTTCCCAACCCAACCCATCACCAAAAGATGAACGCATATTTGGAGTATGTAAATGAAAAGGTTCCTAAAGGACCAGGAGTACATCTCAATTATATTGTTTAGGGCAACAAAAAAACTGGAAGCAACATTTTTAACATTACCAAGCGTAACAGTACAGCAAGATCAGAATGATGCATAATGCTGCCGCAACGGGTCAAAAATTCGAAGAACATCTCAGAACACATCTACAGAAAAGGAAATATAGTTGTTTATCTAATTACCAAAACCATGGAATTACATATCGTCGATTAAGAGTGTTAACGTCACATTTTTGGTAACTTTTCAATATCTTCATGATTCTGGATGTCTGGTGATATAAATGATATTTAAAAGTCCAAAGCGCCAAAACAGTGGAGTTAGCAAGGTAACACTCTTAACTAACGAAATGTAAGAAAGATATATACAGGGTATTTCATGAGGAATACGTTAATATGTTATAGATTTGTTCAATTCTCAAAGGTAATTGAGATACAGTAACTTAATGCATAAATTGATTTAAATGTGTACATAAAATATCGAAATTCGGACTTTAAAGGGAGGGTTCGAATATCCTACCGCCTAACTCGATGCACTTGGCTGATCTCTTGAAGATATCACGCATTGTACTGCGTAATTTATCCTGATGTGCTACCAATCTAAAATAAATCAAAGGAAAGGCACTTTACCTGTCACAAAATGAAATTTTTTTAGTTAAAAATATTTAACGTAGCACAGACTTTAACTTTTTATAAGAATCGTTTCATATTTTGGGACACACTGTATATATATGTATAGTTTTTTTATGTGTCGAGCTCAAATTTTTAGGGTTTCTGTTGGTATTATGTTAGTTAGGGGATTTTTATTATATTTTATTTCAATTATTTGTGTATAAAAGGTGAACTTAATGTTTTTAAATATCGAAAGTTCAATTTGGTTTTAAAACATTATACAACAAAATTCTCTGGTAATTTTGATCTAGAATTTAAGAGAACTGCTACATCCCGGGAACAGGTGCACACCTAGACGGCCATTTCACACTTTGAATTAATAAATGCTTAATTTATTCTATTCTTGTTTTGTAATGTTGTTAGTTTGAGACTTAATAAGGTTCATAATATAAACGATAAATCAAATTGCTTTTTCAGGATGTTAATGGTAACACTGGGGAAACGGATCATATTACAAAAAAACTTTTAGAACAAAAGTTGTAGCAAATTCTATTGTTAACAATATTGCTCTCTAGCAATATTGTAGAATTTCATTGTTTTACAAGGTATTGGAAACACTCGGGAATCGGGGCATGTTATAAAAAAACTTTTTAAACGAAAGTTATAGAAAAGTTTATTCTTAACAATATTGCTTTGTTGCACTTTTGCTCTCAGATGCGGCAATATCGAGAAAAATACAAAAATATCAAATTTCGATGAATTTCTTGCATTTCCAAGTTGTTAATGGTAATACTCGAGAATCGGAGCATATTACAAGAAATCTTATAGAACAAAAATTATAGCACATTTTATTCTTAACAATATCGCTATTTTGCACCTTTGCTCTTAGTTGCGTCAATATTGAGCAAAATTCGAGAATATGAAAATTTGACGAATTTGTTGCTTTTTCAAGTTGTTAATGGTAATATTCGTGAATCGGAGCATATTACAAGAAAAGTTTTAGAACGAAAATTATAGCAAATTCTATTGTTAACAATATTGCTCTCTTGCACTTTTGTTCTTAGATGTGTCAATATTAAGAAAGATACGAAAATATGAAAATTGGATGAATTTATTGTTTTTTCAAGTTGTTAACGGTAACACTCGGGAATCAGAGCATATAACAAAAAAAACTTTTGAAACAATAACTATAGCACATTTTATTCTTGACAATATCGCTATCTTGCACTTTTGCTCTTAGTTGCGTCAATATTGAGAAAAATACGAGAATATGAAAATTTTATGAATTTCGTTGTTTTACAAGGTATGGATAACACTCGGGAATCGGAGCATGTTATAAAAAAACTTTTAAAACGAAAGATAGAGAAAAGTTTATTCTTAACAATATTGCTCTCTTGCACTTTTGCTCTCAGGTGCGTCAATATCGAGAAAAACATGAAAATGTGAAATTTCGATGAATTTGTTACTTTTTCAAGTATTTAATGGTAGTATTCGAGAATCGGAGCATATTACAAGAAATCTTATAGAACAAAAATTATAGCTCATTTTATTCTTAACAATATCGCTGTGTTGCACCTTTCCTCTTAGTTGCGTCAATATTGAGAAAAATAAGAGAATATGAAAATTTGATGAATTTCGTTGTTTTACAAGGTATTGGTAACACTCGGGAATCGGAGCATGTTATAAACAAATTTTTAAAACAAAAGATATAGAAAAGTTTATTCTTAACAATATTGCTCTCTTGCACATTTGCTCTCAGATGCGTCAATATCGAGAAAAATATGAAAATGTGAAATTTCGATGAATTTGTTGCTTTTTCAATTTGTTAATGGTAATATTCGAGAATCGGAGCATATTACAAGAAATCTTATAGAACAAAAATTATAGCACATTTTATTGTCAACAATATTGGTCGCTTGTACTTTTGCTCTCAGATGCGTCAATATCGAGAAAAATACGTCAATATGAAAATTTTATGAATTCGTTGTTTTTTTAAGATGTTAATGGGGAAACGGAGCATATTACGTGCATATTATTAGTATTAGGTCTACTACTGTTAGTTCTAGTTTCAGTTCAATAAAAATAACGATCACTGTCACTAGAACTAACACTAAATCTAGAACTAGATACATTCAGATTTGTGTCTTTAGATGGCTAAACCCCAATGTTTCTTGTTCTAGATTTAGTGTTAGTTCCAGTTTTAGTTGTTATTCAGCGCTACATTGTTGTATATTTTTATTGAACTAAAAATAGAATTATCACTAGACCTAGAAACATTCGTGTTTCTTTTCGTCTTCAAACGCACTGCTAGTAACAGCTAACTGTTGGCGACACTACGTATTGGTCCGATACTGACGTCATTATCTGGATTACAAAACAACAAAGGATGTAGCAGTCCTTTTAGATTCTACCATCATCGGCTTTTATTAATGTTATCATTTTTGTGAGCGTTTGTAGAAAATAATTACGTTGTTTGGTAATTAAATTTTCCTTTTATTTTATTATTATGTTAGCGCATGTGTCAGTGGTAATTTAATGTTTTTTAAACTCTTTATTTATTTATTGTTAGAAAGGTTCTTCAAAATCGCATTAAATCCATTACAAGCACTTAGCAATAACCAAATAATATTCTACGCATTTCATTCCCAATTTAGTAATTATTCGTCCCAAATAAAGCTCAACTCAAAACAGATAATGGAACAACAACCGGTAATAAATTACAATTTGAAATTTCATTTTACAAGTTTTAACAAGTTCCTATTTATCGTGTGAATAACAATGATGTAAATTATATCTTCTACTATTCAATTTTAATCCCGTTCATGTATGTTATAAACTAGTTATTTTTTACTTGTTGTATTAAAAAGGATTAAATTTAATTAAAATACGAGATCTTCTATAAAAAAAGTGTCATAAAATAGAAATCAAACTATTAAAAAACGTAACCGGGTGCAAAATTTTTACAATGGTATAAAATTTGCCGTAAAAACTAAAAACAACGTCGAGGACGCGATGCTAACGTTGATGGAACTGTAATAAAGTAAATATTACTACCGCGGTTGTGCACAGTTTTAATTACACGGTGTCATAACGGTGACGTTATAAAAAGCACGTTATCCAATGTCGCTATAATATGCATTTGGTCATTTTTAGATTTTCAACTCTTTGATAACTTTTAACTCTTCACTACAAAGATATAAAATGGGCTTATGCAATCATACGCCGCTGCGTGAGTCCGCAATTGGCAATAGAAACAAATTTTGTTATTTACTTTTTCGTGTTAAATCCATATAATCCATTTGCATCATAAGCTCGGATATGAGCGGATTTAATACTCTTTATTTATTTATCTATTATATTTAACTAAAACTAGAACAAACACGTGCTATAACCTTCTTCAGAAATAACCAAAATTAGTATTAACTTAACACTATCACTAGAACTAACACTAGACCTAGAACTAGAAACTCTATAGTGCAGCGTTGCCAACCTATGCCGGTCAAATGTTGGTGGAATC